ATGGGGATGCTTAATATGCACAAGTTGTCAAGGTAGACCAAACCACTGTAACCTGATTAGATTGAGAGGAGGAGGGTGTAGACCTTGAACTGTCAAAAGCACAATTTTCAGCTCTATTTTTAATCAGAACACAGACGTGTTTTCACCTACAAAACCACGCATTTTACCTCCTGTGTAACAAATGTAGTGTAGGCTCGTATAGACAATTGGTTTATCTTTAACATCATTCTCTTTCTGGCTGTGTTTCCCCCCTTGGCCCTAATTTTTCATCTGTTTCTCCATCTCTTACATCTATGAGTAAATGTCTTTTACTCTCTTCTAAATATGTAGGTTAGGCAATTTAATTTTTTTATTTTTGCTTTGCCATCAGTACCAACACGTAATTCCAAATGCAATGTGAGCTTTTCATTTGACACTGTCAAGCCCTGTTGACCACATAACCACAGGTACTCAAGTAAAGTACTGTAAGGGTGTTGTTTAGCGACTGCTGTTTGGCAAACAATCCCACCATCAAAATGATGCTAAATAACAAGGGTGTGCATGCTGGGCCACTAGAAGACAGCAAATTGCTCCTGAAACAACAAGACTGTTGCACAGAGTCAATGGCTTCATTGCAAAATTCCAATAAATAATTAAATGATTTATTCATTTGTCATTATTTGTTTGTTTTACACAGGCATGTGTTTAACATAACAGTAATGGCCTCCAATATAAGTAGATCCATAACACATAGCAAATACACACAAAATCAACTAATGGATTAAACGATTAATAGCTTTTTTCCCCCACAACAGACATATGCAATATATAGCATTCTCAATCCTCTCTTCATCCATCATGTATTGAAACCACTGCTTGCTTTGGCAATGATAGCTCTCATGCAGATGGGTTTCCTGATTTGCCGAGCAGTTGCTTAGAGGTAACAATTACATTGCCATTACAGAGAAGACATGCAAGCAAGAACACTATTTACTCATTAAATTACACAACATAATTTCACTTTTTGCTAATGGAAAAATGGCCAACCTCTATCTCCCATGTGAATATTAATCCAAAAATATTTATAGAAGTAAACAAAGCTTAGTCCCATTAAGTAGGGTTTTTTCAGAATGATATATATATACATATAAGTGACAGGTTCCTTTGTAGGCTACTAAATAAATTCAATAACTTTCTGTATCCTACAGCTTTTAATCATCCTCATAATAGCACAGGATTTTCTAAATCTGCACTTCGGAATTTGTTCCAGTTTTATTACTCCTTTCATGCTAGAAATTCCTGCTTCCACTAAGTCACAGCACAGTGACCAAGTGATTGGCTTACAGGTAGTTAGGTGGTTAATGGTGCTTGGCCTATGGTTGTTTGCTGAGGCACAGATGAGTCTCATTTAAAGATTCTGCCACTTTCTTACGTCAGAATCATTCTTCTTTACATCTTGTTTGATGATAATGTGCAGTGAGCACCATAAGGGAAAAAGGGTGCGCTCAATTCCTGAGCTATCCTCCCAGTGAATATGAATAAATTCAGTTTCAAATAAAAGGAGTTTTCTTCTTGGGGAGAATGAAAAGACTCACACAATTCTTTCACACTGAATGGAGATGGATCTAGGCTGTACCAATTTTCAGAGAAAAGAGCACAAAAAAAAAGCGCCAAAATTAGCCTCTAATTTGAAGTCATAATAAATAAGAGGCTTTTAACAGCAATGGGTGTCAAAGCAACTCAATGCTGGCAAGAAGGATAAAACAAATACATTTCCTCAATATTCTCTTGTGGTTGAATTCCTTGTTTA